AGGTAAATCAAGCTCCCTAGTCTCTCTTTGATTCCAACAGTTTTTTTTGATTGATGCTAAAAATATTCCTTTTTGTTGATAAAAATTGCTCTTGTTTTTACTGATGAAAATCGGGTCCCCCCTTTATATTGCTTTTTCTGGTTGGGTTATATACCCATTACAAATTATAAAACATAAAAAATTAAATTTGTTGATTTCTCCTGATGCATTTGGTGGTGCCATGCTTTGGAGGAGAGGCCGACCTTGCTGCTGTCGTGGAGGTATGGGCACGGGTATGGCGACTGGCAGCAGGGCATGGTGAGCGTGCTGGAGCAGGCGGTTGGGTGGTGGCTTGAACCGGGTCACTTGTTGGGTCTACAAAATAGTGTAATATATGTTAATATAATAATAATAATTAATAATAATAATATAATAATAATTATTATTATAATAATTATTATTATAATAATATGTTTTTGAGACCCAGACAAAAACGGGTGTCTACAGCTGCCCCTCTTTGCACATTCTTGTGTTAACAAGAATAGGGCAAAGACGAAAAAGACAACCAGTTTTTGTCTGGTTCTCTTTTTTTTGGTTTTAAAACGTGAAGTGTTTGTGTTGGGGGACGCCACGGCTCATACGTGATGAAGAGGTCTGGTCGTCTAAGGGTGACACAACTCCTACGTGATGAGGAGATCTGGTTGAGGGATGACACTGCTCATACGTGATGAAGAGTTCTTGGCCATCTTTAGGAATGATGATAACTTGGTTCCTACGCGATGAGGATGACTGGTTATCTATGGGTGACACGACTCCTACGTAATGAGAAGGTCTGGTCGGGGAATGGCACGGCTCATATGCGATGAAGAGTTCTTGCCATCTTTAAGAAGGGCGATAACACGGTTCCTACGTGATGAGGACGACTGGTTATCTAGGGTGACACGGCTCCTACGTGATGAGGAGGTCTGGTCAGGGGATGACACGGCTCATACGTGATGAAGAGTTCTGGCCATCTTTAGGAAGGGCGATAACACGGTTCCTACGTGATGAGGATGGCTGGTTATCTATGGTTGATGTGGTTCCTACGCGATGAGGAGTTCTGGTCAGGAGATGACACGACTCATACGTGATGAAGAGTTCTGGCCATCTTTAGGGATACTGGTTTCAAGAGAAACCGATTCAAAGTAAGTTTCAAGAGAAACTGACTCAAAGATAATGTGTTTTAAAAGCAATTTCCTCGGAAGAGACAAAAACTCGTTTCAAGGGAAACGATCTCAAAGATGTGTGTTTTGTTTCAAGGGAAACAGACTCAAAGATGGTAAATTTTGTTTCTAAAGAAACAAACTCAAAGATTTTTTTCAAAAGAAACTGTATTAAGAGATAAAACCTTGTTTCTAGAGAAACAAACTCAAAGATGATCTTGTTTTAAGAGAAAATGTTTCAAGAGACAAAATTCGTTTCAAGGGAAACGACTCAAAGATTTCTCAAGAGAAACTGTCTCAAGAGAGACAAAAACTTTGTTTTAAGAGAAAAAGAATCAAAGATTGTCGATTTTGTTTATAGGGAAATAATCTCAAAGGTGTTTGTTTGTTTACAGGGAAACAATTTCAGGATTTGTGTTTAAAAGGGAAACTGTCTCACACGAGACGAATCAACTTTGAAAATATCAAGTGATATTAATTTTGTTTCAAGTACAACAACTTTGAAATTTGTATTCTGAGGGAAAATGTCTCAAGTGAGACGAAATTTGTTTTGAAATAAACAACAATCTCAAGTGAGATTAATTTTGTTTCAAGTGAAGCAAATTCAAAATTTGTTTCTCAAAGAAAAAAATGTCCCAAGCGAGACGAAATTTGTTTTAAAAGAAACAACAATCTCAAATGAGATTAATTTTATTTCAAGTGAAGCAAATTCAAAATTTGTATCAAAGGAAAAAATGTCTCAAGCGAGATGAAGTTTGTTTTTTTTTTTTGAGATATAACAATCTCAAGTGAGATTAATTTTGTTTCAAGTGAAACAAATTCAAAATTTGTATCTCAAAGGAAAAATGTCTCAAGCGAGACGAAATTTGTTTTGAAATAAATTGTCTTAAGTGAGACAAAATTTGTTTTTCAAGACTGTCTCAAGCGAGACAAAATTTTGTTTCAAGAAAACAACATCAAAGGATACTGATAGTCTGTTTGTTCCTGCTGTTGAAGGAGATGTCTTAATTATTGACTTCAGGAAGTCATGTCATTGTTCTTTCAGGCTGAATACATTTGGTCATTTCTGAGCTTTGATTTCCTGAGAGATCAAAATGATGTATTTATGAATGCCTAATCTTTGATGTTATGATGAATGTCAAGATGAAATTTATTTGAATTTTATTGAATTTATCCTCAAGTGAGGAGGAAAATGTCTTTAATGCACATGATGATAAATGTTTGATGCAAAGATGCAAACTCATGTAACATGTATGTATGTGTTGATGTATGTATGTTGATCTGTGAGAGGAATAGTTGCGTGAGCAGTCTTCATTCTATCCCTGACTCAGTTTGTCTTCATTTCCACCAAGGTGTACTCTTGCAAACCTTGACCTGAGACAATTTGTTTCCTTGCCCCAGCAAATTTTGACCCAAAAATTGACTTTTCTTGCCCAGCTTCGATTCTGAGCTTCGGAGATATATTCATTGAATTCCAAGATATACTTCCAGAGAACTTATCTTGTTTGAAAATGTTTTTCTTCTTTTAAAAACAACTTGACGAAGAAAGAATATGTGGTTTTTTCATTGTCAAATGAACTAAAATAATGCCCCTTCTTCGGCCTCACAATTGGAGCAAATCACAAAATATGAATTCATTGAATATCAAAAATCAACTACTCTTTTAAGCTTTAATAGCTGCAAATCTTTGACAAATATCAAGATCGAAATGTTGTCTTAGAGGTTGGCAACCTAAATTCTAGGGTTTGTTTCCTCTATTTGGTCATCGAGATGATCGTGGCATGCTCCTCTTTCTTGGTTTGACATTTTAATCGGAGGCGAACAAAATGACGCAACTAGCATAGTCACTTGCTAAACTCTTTAGAACACTTTTGTTTCAGTTCTCTGAAATCTTCCATTTGTTCAGGCTTCGTAGGTTCACCTAGTCAAGGTAGTGCAAAAATATCGGTCTAAAAATGAGATTTCTGAGTGTTCGTGTGAGTTCGACTATAACAGGTGTTCCTCAACTCCCTTAGTCCATATTCACCGAAACTCCTTATATTAGTGAATTTGATTTAATTTGCCATTGTTTGGCTAGCTGAATTCAGCTTTATTGTATATATATTTTATAATTGCCTTTATCAAGCTAGCTGAAGGATTCATGTCGTCACAAAGTCTTCGACTTGACAACCACAGTGGAGCATACACCGGATTGCCAAATACCCGATCAATGTCATGGTTTGAATGTACTCTATTCATAAAGCCAGGGCTTTCGAGTTTCCTCTATTACCAATTGCTTTAGCAGAATAGCTCAGCTTTATTGTATACATATATATGTTTTTTTTGTTTGGTTACGGATTCCATTTCTTAAGCTCGCTGAGGAAAACCTGTTATAGTCCTGGTGTTTGTTGAAGGTAAGAAAATCTCATCGTTAGAGTTCAATTTCCAAGCAACTGACCTAAACTGGATTCATCTACGTGACCATTCCATCTGAGAAGATTATGATCATCATTGAACGTCATAAACAGAAATAATAACCAATTAGTTTTATAATCTCATGTGCTAGTTGCCCCATTTTATCCGCTCCTAACACATACCTGAATGCCAAACCCTTTGATTGACTCTTTATGTGAATAGAAAACTAGCTCGGTCCCTGCAAGAAAATGGTATGTACTCTGGTGTACCTCTGGATTAGGATCAAGGGGTCATTGTTTTGCAGGGTTCAATCTTGTCATTTATCAAAGATTTACAACCTCAGTTATTAAAAAAACTTTTAATTAAAATGATATTTAAAATTGAAATTTGCTCATTGTTCATTTCCTAAGAATGAAGCATTTTATTGAAAATGTTCACACGTCAAGCGACGTACAAACATTCACACATAAAAAAGAAAAACAAGATCAAACAAGATGACATGCATGAGAATGTAACAAAATCTCAATGATGGATGCCCGGCCGAATTTCGATCAGAATGCCCCATCACACCTTGAACGTTAATGCCCCTAAATCGATCAGATCTTGGACCTTGCGCTTCAATGTCCTACAATTCTCCGTGGTGTGCCCTGAGCTCCCAATGTGATAGCTGCATATGGCGTTAATATCATGGCCTTTAGGATATGGGGTCTCTCTTGGTTTGGATTGAACTGGAGTCACAAGGTTCCTCTCAACTAGCATTGGGAGCAATTCCTCATATGTTATTGGGATTGGATTGATGCGACGGAATGCCTTATGAGGTTTGGTCCCCAGATTAGCTAGATAAGATCCTTTAATGTTAATCTCATCTCTTTCCTCATTGTCGGAAAGACTAGTGCCTCCTATCTGGCCATTCTTGACTGCTCTTTCGATCATTTCTCCACACATGACAATGTCAGAGAAACTCTTAGTGGCAACCCCTATCATGTAGTCGATATATGGAGACTTCAATGTATCGATGAATAGAGTGATGAACTCTTTTTTAGTCATTGGTGGATGCACTTGAGATGCAATATCCCTCCATCGTTGTGCGTACTGTCGAAAGCTCTCATAATTCTTCATCTCCATATTTTGAAGCATTGTTCGATCGGGGGCCATATCAATCATGTGCTTGTATTGGCCCAGAAAAACACTAGCCAGATCCCTCCAGGAGCGGACTTGAGTATGACTCAGTTGATTATACCACCTAGAAGCGGGTCCAATCAAACTATCTTGGAAGCAGTAGATCAACATCAGATCATTGTTGGTGTATCCAGTCATCCTTCGGATAAACATTGTGAGATGTGCATTGGGGCAACTGGTTCCACTATACTTTTCAAACTCGGGCATCTTGAATTTGGGCGGAAGCACCAGGTCAGGAACTAGTACTAGTTCTGTTGCATCCATCCCTCTGTGAGAGCTCTGTCCTCTCATTCCCTGGAATGTTTCTCTACACCATTGTTTCAAATTCTCTGGGATCTCGTTATTTGTTCTTTTTGTCACTTCGTGACCAGGAATCCTGTTGGGCGATATAATTGGTTGTGAACTAGCCTGTGCCTTCACACATTCAACTGTTTCACGGGTCAAGGAAATCTTCTCTTTGCCTTTTCCTTGGTTAAGCTCAGCCAATTTTGTTACCATTTGATCCACTAGGTCACTTTGATTTTGCAAGATATGATCCACAGTGGCCTTTTGCATCTGCTCCAATTTAACCTCCCACTCAGCTTGCATCTTTTGCAAACTCTCGTTCAGCTCTTTCTTCAATTCCTCAAATTTTGCATCCATTCTCAGTACTGTGTGAATGCAGTTGCACAGTTAGAAGTGCTTCCTCAAAGTTTCTCGCAAGGTATGATTAATGCATGTAAACATGCTTAAATGAATGTTGTACAAAATGCAACGATGCAAATGCAAATGTAGAAATATCGATCCCACCGATGAATATTTTAGAACAATTTTCACCAGAGATAAAAGTTTTCACATTACAAGATAATCCACTTTACAGACTTGACTTCTCTTAGATGTCGAATCTGAAATGGGTCGTTTCTTCGTCTCGGATCTTCGTCCTAAAAAATGATGCCCCTTAAGCATTTTGTAATCTAACTCCGTTACTGCCCCGACGGTGGTGAAGTCATGCGCCACTCCCTGATGGTTAGTGATGGAATGTTCATAGATAAGAATCTACTGTTGGATTACTCCTTGGCTCAATAGATCATCATTCCAGTCTCGGATGCTGCACTATCTTCGAGCGAGTCTCATTCTTGTATTCTGGACTTCTTTTAGCCCTCAATGCATGTCTGTATATGCGACTACTTGATTGAAAACTTTCATCTCTTATTGTGAAAATTTTCTCTCGAATATCCCCTTGCTGATCAACATTTTCGCATTATGTTATGATGATGCAATGTAAAGAAGAATGAAAAAAGACACAAACAAAAGAAAATAAATAAGTTAGTGCACACAAAGAAAAAAAAGAAATTAGTTAGTACAGGTAAGACAATCGATATATATAAAAATGTTATTTAAAGATGAATATAACACCTACCCCGTCATGATATCTACCCGGGCATGCTTTCAATAGATAGCAATCCTACCCGGACATGCTTTCTACCCACAATGATCTATTTTCAAGAAATTGGTTCTAACCGCATGGTATCTAGTTCACATGCTTTTATTCGAAAAAATATATCCTACAAATTTAAAAGGTAAAGGTTTAGAGTCGTTCCTCCTTCATGTACACCTATTTTGGGTACCTACTGACGGACAAAGGTTCATTATGACTATACCTAAGGTGATCGTTCGACGGTTCACTATATGCTTGGTTTCGGCTCTAACGGGAAAAGGGTAATCGAATTGTCCTTGATGTCGGTGCCCCCTTGGGCTGCCAGACCCTCGATCCTCACCCATTACAGGTTTCGAGCGGAACGAGTTCAATTCGAGGGGATTCACTGCCTTATACCCATACGAGGAATAAATCCCTACGAAGGTATAAGGTATGTATCCCATGGGTTATTTGCTAAAACTCATACGAAGAATAAATTCTTACGAGAGTAAAGCAATCACCCCAACTAATTTGGATCGAAGCTCGTGTTTAGAGCTTATGCCATGTAAATGAACGTAATGTGTGTGAGGAGGATCGTACCTACCTTTGACTCAAAACGGGAAAGAGAACAAGAAAAAAAATCTTGGTAAATCCTCGACAAAGCCTTTGAATAAAAATCGAAACCTTAGTACAAAAATTTAAAGAAATGAAGAAATTAAAAAATCTTCAATAAATGGATTATAAGTTAACTAAAGACTCAAATTAATAATTTCCACCAAGACGACAATGTGTAAGCGACTTACAGCTCGACTCTCTAAAAAAAAGTCCCCAGTGGAGTCGCCAAGCTGTCATAACCATTTTTTTTTTTATAAAACTATTAAATATTATTTTAAAAAAACGATTATGACTTAAATTTTGGAAAATTGGGTGATTTTGGATTGATTGAAATAAAATGGAAAAGGGAGTCGCCATCGACCTTTGGGTTAGGTAGGTCGAATACCTAAAAACGTCTTTTAAAACAATTTTAAGAAAAATCATTTTTTAAGACAAAATTTGGTCTGCGTTACCAAAGATTCATTTAAATGGATTCGGGAGTCGGTTACGTGTAGGGAAGGGTAAACACCCCACAATGCCCAAAATAGGTACTGTGTCGCTTACACATCGTCGTAAATGGTGGAAATTACAAATCGAATATAAAGTTAAAATATGATATGTTTATCGAAAATTGATTAATTTGCTTCGAATTAAATAATTAAAGAAAATTCTTTAATTCGAAAAGAAATCTCGAAATTAGCAATCCTCCATTGGGAAAGCTAACTCGTCTATTTCTTATCACTAAAAGAATGTTTCCTCAATCGATAAAATACGGGTCAAATATAAAATGAATATTAACAGTACAAAAAAATAAAATACATAACTTGTATTGATCAATATAAAATAAAAATGAATTAACAATTAACAAACTAGAATTGATTTATTTCAAGTTCCATTTAGTTTGAACGTCGTATTAGATTGTACCACTTCGATCAAGTGATACTTTCTACGCCCGTTCTACAAATTCGTGTTCTTGAAACTATTCAGATAACATTAACAGTTAAAGAAATGGAAATAAATATAAATAAAATACAAAATAAAACATACACCATAAATAAAGTTAAACATATTTATTTACATATGATATAAATAAATACATAACATAAAAAGATGTAGATACGATTGACATAAATACAAATAAATATTACAATCACCAAATATAATAATCAAAAAATAAATAATAAAATTACAAGGACTAACATGGTAAATAAAAAACATAGTAAAAATCAGAAATATTAAACATTACAGACACTAAAAATAAAAATAACCCAAAATGAAGTTTAGGACTAAAATGCAATAAAACATAAACATGAAGGCCGAATAATAATTAAACCTAAATATAACAATGACTAAAATAAATACGTAAAATGTCATGACCAGATTCGAATGTTAAAAAAACACAATAAACTAAAACAATGACTAAAATGAAATAATTACAAATATGAGCTCAAAACAAAGTATTTACCCAAAACACACTAGTGAACAAATAGGGATCAAAATGAAAAGTGAACAAATATTAAGTCCAAAATGAAATAAACATAAATCATTAACTGATGACCAAAATGAAAACTACACAAAATTAACAGCTAAATATCTAAATATTTAAACAGATATAATACATGACTAAAATGAAATAAATAGAAACGTAAAGATAATAAGCAAAACTGCCAAAACAGTGATCTAAATAAAAGTAATAAATATTAATGGACTAATTCGAAACAAACAAATAATATAGCAAATGACCATAATAAAATAAAACAAAACATGCAGGATGAATTGAAATAAATTAACAAATAGTCAACCTAGTGATCAAAATAAAATGCGGCAAAAATAAGGAGGAACTAAAGGATGTTTACCCATGATTTAATGCTCCAAACGTTACTTGGGCTAAATACAAGGACCCATACAGTGATTTAACCTTAACTTAGTGACCAAAATAATATGTGTTTCCTAAATTTAGAGGACATATGTGTAATTAATCCACGAATGTGGTGACTAAAGTGCAAAACACGTTAATGTATGATGACCTTTTGTGGGATTTACCCAAAATTAAAAGAAGAACAACTTATTCCTTTCCCTATTTTTCAATCTGTCGATGGTTTTAAAACTCCAACCTTTTGTCTATTTTCCTTCACTCTGCGCAACACAGCAGCCGACTCCAACAAGCTGGAACCCACATCACTTCGGCCACCCTATTTGGGTGGCTATTCCACTCCGATCAGCCACTAATCCTCCTCTCCGATGACCTTGTTGCTCCGACGAGTACGCCGACTTCAAGGTAAATCGAGCTCCCTATTCTCTCTTTGATTCCAAAAATTTTTTTTGATTGATGCTAAAAATATTCCTTTTTGTTGATAAAAATTGCTCTTGTTTTTACTGATGAAAATCGGGTCCCCCCTTTATATTACTTTTTCTGGTTGGGTTATATACCCATTACAAATTATAAAACATAAAAAATTAAATTTGTTGATTTCTCCTGATGCGTTTGGTGGTGTCATGCTTTGGAGGAGAGGCCGACCTTGCTGCTGTCGTGGAGGTATGGGCACGGGTATGGCGACTGGCAGCAGGGCATGGTGAGCGTACTGGAGCAGGCGGTTGGGTAGTGGCTTGAACCGGGTCACTTGTTGGGTCTACAAAATAGTGTAATATATGTTAATATAATAATAATAATTAATAATAATAATTAATAATAATAATATAATAATTATTATTATTATAATAATTATTATTATAATAATATGTTTTCGAGACCCAGACAAAAACGGGTGTCTACAATTACAACAGAAGAACCACGATTAACGCATCAAGCCCCATAATCCACCAATACATTAATCAATCCAAAGGGGTTCGCTATTCTAAAACGCAATTGAATCCACCACAGAGAGAGAGAGAGAGAGATGAAAACTCTTACCACATGCTGCCCGCGATACTTAAGCGTATAAGGCCCACTCTCAAGCGTCCTCCCAAAATGGCTATACACCTTATGTCGTTCTTTACCGCTTTGGTCTAAGAGTGTGAGCTCAAAAAGCGCCCTAACGTCGGTCCCTTCGCTTGCCAAAGCAATGAACAGCGAAACGTAGGTGGCATTATCTTCGGGGCTATTTCCATCGGGATAAAAATAGATCGCCCACAAATATCCACCCACCATGAACGTGTCGGAAGCTATGTACTTTCCGATCCCCAAACCTTTAGACAACGAATACCCCGTTATCTTGAACTGGTGAGACCCGTTTTCCGACTCCGTCACCAACGTCGAAGACGTTGTCGAGCTAACGGAGGTGGCTGCCGACGAGGACGGTTTCAATTTTTCCAATAGAGCCTTCCCCATACGTCCTCAAGAAAATTCTAATTTCCTTAAGCCTAAATTGGGGGTTTAAAAACTTTCTTTTTCTTGGTTAAGATTTTAAAAAAATCTCGGGAAAAGAGAGGATTTTATTGGGGGGTGGGTGGGGGGGGGGGGAATTTGGGGGTTCTTTAGATTTTCTGATAATCGAGGGTAGAATTCTATGCGTTTTTATCGAAACATATCTATCCGATCCATTAATTACATGTTAGACACTCTCTTTCTTCTAATATTATCAATATAACATATTTTTTCGATAAAATGCGAGGTTCTGTGCGAATTGACGTCACATAAGGGAATGCACGGATTATCATTCGCGCCTTAGTTGAATTTCTGAATATACTGAAGGCGTGGATCATTAAGTACGCCTTCGATCGGTCCACATCGTCATTCAAAGCATTTTAAAAAAATATGTTTTAAAAAATAAAATAAAAAATTATAGGGATTAATATCGTAATTTAATATATATATTAGTTCCATGAGTCGAAGAGCTTAATGGAACTAGCTTATGAAGGCATATTAGAATGTTTAGGTTATGTTTCTTGACAATGTGAGACAAAAACTAAAAGATATATTCCTTAACTTTTTTATCTTTATATTTTAATGAATCTATTTATACACTATTGTTAAATTATATTATGTTGATATTTATTATTAAGGTTTATATTAAATAAGATTATATATTTTTATATGTTAATATATTTAAGTAATAACATTTGGTTAATATTTATTATTAAAATTTATACTAAATTAATTTTGAAGCTGATACATATCAAAGGGGAAACAGTATACTCGTGTAAGATCGAATATAAGATTAATTATATTTAGGTGACTCAAACGCCTTAAAATATTGTATGTTCTTTTGTTTTAAATCTAGATTATGAGATAATAGGTAATTTTCATGTAATTTATTTAATTATATGTTTTTACTGTAATAATTTGAGATGAAATAAGCTATAAGAAGGTTATGTTTTCTTTGATTATATGGTCTAGGGTTTTTAGTGCTTTGTTATGTTCTGTTGTTTTTAATCTTTTGCTTTCTTTGAGAATATGGATTGTTTTTTAAATTGTTTGCTTGATCTATACGAGGTTGATGAGTAATATGTGGTATGTATTGATTTTTATTGTTTATTTAATAAAGTTGCAATAAGGTATATTCTGATTTTTAGGGTTCTTTTTACATGTGGTCCACATTTTATTTGTTTTGTCCATATGTGACCACATGTTGAATTTTTTTTCCTGTTGGTATGCTCTCGTATAGTGTAAATCTAATGTATACTTAAAAACTAAAGTAGTAAGTAGGGTTAGAAGATTTTGCATCCAACTAATACAGTCATATGTTATTTGCAGATCCTGATTCAGATAAATTTAATTGTGTAATTCATTATAGTGAAAATTTTCTTTTTTTCACATGTCGTAAAATACACATATACTTCTATTACATATTATGATCTTCTTGATGCATTGAGCTTCTTAATGTTTGATGTATGTGATAGGGTGGATAAATCAAAGTTTACTAAATAAAAAAAACAGAACATAAACAAAGCACTAAAAACATGTATAGAACATAAAGCAGTTTTCTTTATTGAAATGCCCACTATTTTTGTAGTTCAATGTAATGTCAATTTCCATTGCTTTAATTTTCAGATTAGCAATCAAGTTAATACAAACGAATTGAAATGTTGGGCTTGGATTAATTTTGTTCCAAAAAACTTAAAAAATCAAGGAACAACTAAATCAAGTAATATCTCCACCATCATCACCCATAAAACACCACACAAAATCTTTTAAACCAACAGACGCATTATTTCATAACCCACACATCTATCACACACAAAACCAATAGACATAACCAACAAATTTGTTCTAACATTCTTGTCCTCTTGTTTTTCTTCAATTTCTTAAAGAGTCCAACAATAGCAACTCTTGAACAAGATGTGACCGGAACATCATACCAAGCAAAAAATCGACAATAAACCATGCTCTCATTCTCATAATTGTTACACCCATAGAACTTCCAACCTGGATTCTCATCAGTCCAAGCAGTGATGATTTTAGCTAGTTTTCCACAACGAAACAAGGGCATGGCACTGCTTGATTCCATCTTCTTCATCATTGTTTTTCTTCATCGTCGTGACTTCTTCTTCTTTTTAGGGATTTTAAGGGCTGTTAGGATTTGAAGAAAAGAAGAACAGAGGAGTTTTTTTAGGGCTGCTAGGGATTTAAAGAAAGGACAAAGGACTTTTAATTCCACGTTTATATCAACTATTATTTTTTTTAAAAACTTAATCCAGCTCAGTAAACCCGTGCCAGCTCAGAAAAAATCATTAGTGGTCATATCTAAACCCGTGGTGACCAAATCATATTTAAATAAAAAAAAGAAGGTGGTTATATTTTATTTTTTAAAATCAATGACTAAAAATAGATAAAACATAAACGTAAGTGATTTTCTGTGTAGTTAACCCTTAAATTTATTTGTTACTTCACTATTATCTTTAGACCAGCATGATGACATGAATTATTTTATTGATATACGAATCATGTAAACAAAAATCAATAATTTATTACTATTTATTTTTAATTTTTTTTATTAAATTAGGCTTTATATCGATATTTTCTTTTATCGTTTTTCAACCTTTTTGTGTTCTCTATCATCTCAAATCAACCATTAATTAAAAATCAATTCATACCTGAACCATTAACTACCTCCTTTACCTAAGTTATTGTTACCTTTAAATCTTGTATCATCCCCAACTATCTGAAAATCTCCATAATCAGAATTGTACTTAAATTTTTTTTTGGAGTTAGGTGGGGATCAAACCAACATAACTTGAAAAGATTGGATTTTGAAGAAAAAATGATTTAGAGCCACCATCAACCTTTGGATTAAGTATGTCGAATACTTAAAGATACCTTTTAAAAATATTTTTAAGAAAAAAATTAAGTTAAAAGATAAAAGTAGCTTGTGTTTGACCAGAGATTCATTTTTTAAGGATTCGAGAGTCGATTGCGCGTGGGGAAGGATGAGCTCCCCACATCGCCCATACGTCATCTAAATATTGAAAATTACGAATTCGAATGATATTTAAAATATAATCCATTTTTAGTAAAATTAAAAGGGTATCAGTTTGTCTGAACAATACTCAAAAAAACACATTCCTTATCATTTAAGGCGCATTTTCATAGATTTCTCACGCAAAATCATATTGTCCTAAATTTTAGTAATAAAACACATATATTAAAAATATTTAAAAACTTACTCAAATTCCAAAAGGGTACTATTTTGTTTGAGTAAGAAACACACTCCTTCCTAGTTAAGGTGTGTTTCCATAGATTCCTCTCACGAAATAATATTATCATATTTTTCACAACGTATACATATATTTCAAAATAATATTTAATATGGAAATATATATATATATATATATATATATATATATAAATAAAAAGTACATATGCATACAGTAAGGGACTAAATCGAAACAAATAAAAAATTACAAGGGACTATCGATGTATATATCCTTATTATTTCATAAAATAACTAAACTGAAGAAAAATGAATACGAAACAAAGCTAGAAGGATCTAAAGCATAAGTAAGGCATTCTCATATACAATAAGTACTCAGGATAAAAATGAAATAAACTACAAATCATCAGCCATTATCAGGAAATTATCCAAAGTATATTAATAAGTAAATAGTGACTAAAACATAATGTAAATAAAACAATGGGCTGAATTCAAAAAAAAATAAGATGAAAATTAGTGATTAAAATGTAAAAATACATTAAGGGTTATATGGTTTAAACGCGAATAAATAGGGATGTCAAAAAATCCGAAACTGGCGGATTTTGATCTAATCTGATTCGAAAAAAGTATTTTTTAAAAAATTATGTTCGGATCAGATCGGGTCGAGTTTTGAGAGATGATAATTCAAAGTCGGGTTAGAGTCGAGTTGAGGGTACATCCGTCCAGCCCCGACCCAGGATAATCATAAAAATACCACTATATATATTATATATCTAAAGTTTAAAAATTCTATTCAGAACCAAAGGCACAGGAGCAAACTAAAGACTTTTTGGATTTCTGCACCTTCTGTCCATTCTCTACAAGGTAAGATTTAAATCTCCTCTTTAATTTTTATTATACATTTTGAATACTCTTTCTTTAATTTTACAATTTCTTTATATTTTTCTTAAAGTTCTAACTCACTCACGAGGAGCAAGGCTGTTGTTGACTGCTTTTTCTTCTAATTTACATAAATCATTTGTTGTTTGTAGAAAATGTTATAAAAGATCTGGACACAGAAATAACAAATACATAAAGATGAAATTTCTTTGAAAATGAGATATTTATAGGGTTAAAATGGTTGTCGGGTTGGGTATGGAGAGTTAATTTCGAATCAGGTCAGATTTGGATGAAAATTTAAAGTTCCTCGGGTCAGGTTTTGATGTTTATACCTATTTTTTGGATCGGGTTCGGGTGCGTAAAAAAAATCCAATCCGACCTATAACATCTTTACGAATAACCCAAAATGAAACCCCATTAAACTAAAAGAACATAAAAACGAAACTATCACCATTAGAACATGTAAATTTGAAATAAAATCAAACTAGTTCAATTAGTGAACAAAACACAAAAATACGCAGAAGTAGGGGGAATAAAGCCTAGATACATAAGTTCGATGTATATATGCTACTTTTCTTCTTCTTCTTTTCATTTGTAACCCTAAATATTAAAAAAAGAAAAAATCTCACCTTTGTGCTTTTCTCTCAAAACCATCTTACCCTATGCTTTCTTCTTTGACTGACCCCCAAAACTCGATCACCGCCGTACATCAGTGGTAGTTCAACCCTTCGACCACCATACACAGTGGTTAGAAAACCTAAATTGAATGCGAAATAGATTCTGAAACGATTTGAACCTTAGAACCCTGATTTGGGGCCAAAATCATCAAACAAACCCCCTAAACTCACTTAAAATCACT